ATGCCAACAAACCAACTGATGCTGCCAGCTAAAGATGATGCCATGGCTGTAGAAAAAATAATTGCTGTATGCCAACAAACCAACTGATGCTGCCAGCTAAAGATGATGCCATGGCTGTAGAAAAAATAATTGCTGTATGCCAACAAACCAACTGATGCTGCCAGCTAAAGATGATGCCATGGCTGTAGAAAAAATAATTGCTGTATGCCAACAAACCAACTCATGCTGCCAGCTAAAGATGATGCCATGGCTGTAGAAAAAATAATTGCTGTATGCCAACAAACCAACTGATGCTGCCACCTAAAGATGATGCCATGGCTGTAGAAAAAATAATTGCTGTATGCCAACAAACCAACTGATGCTGCCAGCTAAAGATGATGCCATGGCTGTAGAAAAAATAATTGCTGTATGCCAACAAACCAACTGATGCTGCCAGCTAAAGATGATGCCATGGCTGTAGAAAAAATAATTGCTGTATGCCAACAAACCAACTGATGCTGCCAGCTAAAGATGATGCCATGGCTGTAGAAAAAATAATTGCTGTATGCCAACAAACCAACTGATGCTGCCAGCTAAAGATGATGCCATGGCTGTAGAAAAAATAATTGCTGTATGCCAACAAACCAACTGATGCTGCCAGCTAAAGATGATGCCATGGCTGTAGAAAAAATAATTGCTGTATGCCAACAAACCAACTGATGCTGCCAGCTAAAGATGATGCCATGGCTGTAGAAAAAATAATTGCTGTATGCCAACAAACCAACTGATGCTGCCAGCTAAAGATGATGCCATGGCTGTAGAAAAAATAATTGCTGTATGCCAACAAACCAACTGATGCTGCCAGCTAAAGATGATGCCATGGCTGTAGAAAAAATAATTGCTGTATGCCAACAAACCAACTCATGCTGCCAGCTAAAGATGATGCCATGGCTGTAGAAAAAATAATTGCTGTATGCCAACAAACCAACTGATGCTGCCAGCTAAAGATGATGCCATGGCTGTAGAAAAAATAATTGCTGTATGCCAACAAACCAACTGATGCTGCCAGCTAAAGATGATGCCATGGCTGTAGAAAAAATAATTGCTGTATGCCAACAAACCAACTGATGCTGCCAGCTAAAGATGATGCCATGGCTGTAGAAAAAATAATTGCTGTATGCCAACAAACCAACTGATGCTGCCAGCTAAAGATGATGCCATGGCTGTAGAAAAAATAATTGCTGTATGCCAACAAACCAACTGATGCTGCCAGCTAAAGATGATGCCATGGCTGTAGAAAAAATAATTGCTGTATGCCAACAAACCAACTGATGCTGCCAGCTAAAGATGATGCCATGGCTGTAGAAAAAATAATTGCTGTATGCCAACAAACCAACTGATGCTGCCAGATAAAGATGATGCCATGGCTGTAGAAAAAATAATTGCTGTATGCCAACAAACCAACTGATGCTGCCAGCTAAAGATGATGCCATGGCTGTAGAAAAAATAATTGCTGTATGCCAACAAACTAACTGATGCTGCCAGCTAAAGATGATGCCATGGCTGTAGAAAAAATAATTGCTGTATGCCAACAAACCAACTGATGCTGCCAGCTAAAGATGATGCCATGGCTGTAGAAAAAATAATTGCTGTATGCCAACAAACCAACTGATGCTGCCAGCTAAAGATGATGCCATGGCTGTAGAAAAAATAATTGCTGTATGCCAACAAACCAACTGATGCTGCCAGCTAAAGATGATGCCATGGCTGTAGAAAAAATAATTGCTGTATGCCAACAAACCAACTGATGCTGCCAGCTAAAGATGATGCCATGGCTGTAGAAAAAATAATTGCTGTATGCCAACAAACCAACTGATGCTGCCAGCTAAAGATGATGCCATGGCTGTAGAAAAAATAATTGCTGTATGCCAACAAACCAACTGATGCTGCCAGCTAAAGATGATGCCATGGCTGTAGAAAAAATAATTGCTGTATGCCAACAAACCAACTGATGCTGCCAGCTAAAGATGATGCCATGGCTGTAGAAAAAATAATTGCTGTATGCCAACAAACCAACTGATGCTGCCAGATAAAGATGATGCCATGGCTGTAGAAAAAATAATTGCTGTATGCCAACAAACCAACTGATGCTGCCAGATAAAGATGATGCCATGGCTGTAGAAAAAATAATTGCTGTATGCCAACAAACCAACTGATGCTGCCAGCTAAAGATGATGCCATGGCTGTAGAAAAAATAATTGCTGTATGCCAACAAACCAACTGATGCTGCCAGCTAAAGATGATGCCATGGCTGTAGAAAAAATAATTGCTGTATGCCAACAAACCAACTCATGCTGCCAGCTAAAGATGATGCCATGGCTGTAGAAAAAATAATTGCTGTATGCCAACAAACCAACTGATGCTGCCAGCTAAAGATGATGCCATGGCTGTAGAAAAAATAATTGCTGTATGCCAACAAACCAACTGATGCTGCCAGCTAAAGATGATGCCATGGCTGTAGAAAAAATAATTGCTGTATGCCAACAAACCAACTGATGCTGCCAGATAAAGATGATGCCATGGCTGTAGAAAAAATAATTGCTGTATGCCAACAAACCAACTGATGCTGCCAGATAAAGATGATGCCATGGCTGTAGAAAAAATAATTGCTGTATGCCAACAAACCAACTGATGCTGCCAGCTAAAGATGATGCCATGGCTGTAGAAAAAATAATTGCTGTATGCCAACAAACCAACTGATGCTGCCAGCTAAAGATGATGCCATGGCTATAGAAAAAATAATTGCTGTATGCCAACAAACCAACTCATGCTGCCAGCTAAAGATGATGCCATGGCTGTAGAAAAAATAATTGCTGTATGCCAACAAACCTACTGATGCTGCCAGCTAAAGATGATGCCATGGCTGTAGAAAAAATAATTGCTGTATGCCAACAAACCAACTGATGCTGCCAGATAAAGATGATGCCATGGCTGTAGAAAAAATAATTGCTGTATGCCAACAAACCAACTGATGCTGCCAGCTAAAGATGATGCCATGGCTGTAGAAAAAATAATTGCTGTATGCCAACAAACCAACTGATGCTGCCAGCTAAAGATGATGCCATGGCTGTAGAAAAAATAATTGCTGTATGCCAACAAACCAACTGATGCTGCCAGCTAAAGATGATGCCATGGCTGTAGAAAAAATAATTGCTGTATGCCAACAAACCAACTGATGCTGCCAGCTAAAGATGATGCCATGGCTGTAGAAAAAATAATTGCTGTATGCCAACAAACCAACTGATGCTGCCAGATAAAGATGATGCCATGGCTGTAGAAAAAATAATTGCTGTATGCCAACAAACCAACTGATGCTGCCAGCTAAAGATGATGCCATGGCTGTAGAAAAAATAATTGCTGTATGCCAACAAACCAACTGATGCTGCCAGCTAAAGATGATGCCATGGCTGTAGAAAAAATAATTGCTGTATGCCAACAAACCAACTGATGCTGCCAGCTAAAGATGATGCCATGGCTGTAGAAAAAATAATTGCTGTATGCCAACAAACCAACTGATGCTGCCAGCTAAAGATGATGCCATGGCTGTAGAAAAAATAATTGCTGTATGCCAACAAACCAACTGATGCTGCCAGCTAAAGATGATGCCATGGCTGTAGAAAAAATAATTGCTGTATGCCAACAAACCAACTGATGCTGCCAGCTAAAGATGATGCCATGGCTGTAGAAAAAATAATTGCTGTATGCCAACAAACCAACTCATGCTGCCAGCTAAAGATGATGCCATGGCTGTAGAAAAAATAATTGCTGCAGCTATTTGTGCCCAAGCACCATTTTAGCAATGTCATAAAATATCTTTTAAGTTATATAAACAGTCAATAAACTACAAAAAACAAGTAAACAATGAAGCAACTACAAAACAAGTAAACAATGAAGCAACTATAAAAAACAAGGAAATGATGTCAGACTGGTCAACTTGTCTGTGACCTTAAATTTGTAGACCTCCATGTGGGCAGGCCGTTTAGGGGGCCCAAAATCCAACTAAAAACATTCTTTTTTTTCATAAATAATGTTTTCGTGCACCTTGGTGGTGGTTTTGTAATAATTTACAGGTCTACTATAGCAGTGATTGTTCTATAGTAACACTAGCACACACTGTTGCGTAGAAAAATATTTTGAAAATCGAAAATCAGCTGTAGTTTGAATGGTAAGCAAATGTTCACACTACTTCCATTAATTATTGCCTTTTTTAAAATTGTCTAATTGGGTTGCCCATAAATCTCCTTTAAACAGTTTTGTACTAAGTAAATTAAATAGCAATTGCTTCTCTTAATTATTATTTAAACAAAACATATTAAAGAATGGCATAGCAATAAAAGGGAATGTGTTCAATATTAATAATATAAATACAAAAAAAGTAAATAAACAGATCTCAAGAAACCATTAGACAAATCAAGTGTATATGCTTTTGACAGTCCCTCACAATTTTTGGCGAACATAAAATAATTTTATACAAACATTTTTAAAACAATTATTTTAGGCCCAAAATGACTTCGGACATATTTTTGACTGGTTTGTTGTCTCCAGAGTTTCTTCCAGGCATCTCTTCGGGTTAGAAAAATTTTTACCGCCCCCCCCCGAACGGAATGAAATTTATATAATTTATATAGAAAATATATACTTTTAACAGTGTCCGCCCCCCTGAAGAAAGTTTACCGCCCCCCCCCCCCCCCCGAAAATTTCAAGTGCCCCCCCCGGAGAAAACTCTGGAAGAAACACTGGTTGTCTCATGATGGAAATACTTTGCAATAAAATGGGTTTAATTACATAATTAGGATATATATATATATATATATATATATATATATATATATATATATATATATATATATATATATATATATATATATGTTAGTAACCTGCTTCACAAAATTTTAAATAAATCTATTGCTTCCATCAATATCTTAAGGTCAGTGATCGCAAGGTCACACCAACCTACTCACCTATGCCCTGTGTGCGCACCTCCTCTATACCTGAAGTCTTGCTGGTCACACCATTGGTCACCAGTATTCTAATTTCATAGGTTGTGCCTGGTTGCAGGTTATCAATTTTTTTCCATGAGTTGATCACTTCATCCATGGAGCGGATCCATTCAGGACCATCTGAAATAAACATCTTATAATTATCAAGTCCTAATTATAACATTGTAATTAGGTGGTACAAATCGTATAACATGCATCATTCTGTTCACAACATTTGTTACCCAAAAAATGTGTGAAATTCTCTGTTTACAGATTAAGTACATCAATTGCAAAAAAAAAATGTTATTGGACTGCAAGGCTAACCTAAAAAATTTTATTGGACTACAAGACTAACCTAAAAAATTTTATTGGACTACAAGACTAACCTAAAAATTTGTATTGGACTACAAGACTAACCTAACTTAAAAGCAATTTTTGCAGATTTATTTTTTACCTTCACCCTTTTAAAATATCACGAATAGCCTCACTAGCCCCTCCCCACTTTGTTACATCACAGGTGCATCCCCCACTTCGTACAATTAATTATTTTTCAAAATACAGCTTCCATACCCCCCTCCCACAACCCCAGCTGCATCCATCTTCCAATAAACCTGTAGACATCTCCCCACTAGATGATGTGTATGTTTCATCTACCTACCAAGCTTTCTCCACTCCACATACACTACAGTGCCAGAAGATGCGTGAGGGTTGATCCACCAGGTGACATTGATGTCATTTCTTCCCACACTGGCAATGTTAAAACGTGGCATCATAGGGGCTAAAATTTAAAACATTTTATCACCAAAAGAAAAAAATATAAAGTGTTAGGAATAATTTTTACAACCACAAGAAAATTATTGTTTTGGTTAAAGCTCAATTATTCCTAGCTTAAATTTGTTGAGGACACCAGAAAATTATTGTTTTGGTTAAAGCTCAATTAGTGCTAGCTTTATGTGTTGAGGACACCAGAAAATTATTGTTTTGGTTAAAGCTCAATTAGTGCTAGCTTAAAAGTGTTGACACCAGAAAAATTGTTTTGGTTAAAGCTCAATTAGTGCTAGCTTTATGTGTTGAGGACACCAGAAAATTATTGTTTTGGTTAAAGCTCAATTAGTACTAGCTTAAATGTGTTGAGGACACCAGAAAATTATTGTTTTAGTTAAAGCTCAATTAGTGCTAGCTTAAATGTGTTGAGGACACCAGAAAATTATTGTTTTGGTTAAAGCTCAATTAGTGCTAGCTTAAATGTGTTGAGGACACCAGAAAATTATTGTTTTGGTTAAAGCTCAATTAGTGCTAGCTTAAATGTGTTGAGGACACCAGAAAATTATTGTTTTGGTTAAAGCTCAATTAGTGCTAGCTTAAATGTGTTGAGGACACCAGAAAATTGTTTTGGTTAAAGCTCAATTAGTGCTAGCTTAAATGTGTTGAGGACACCAGAAAATTATTGTTTTGGTTAAAGCTCAATTAGTGCTAGCTTAAATGTGTTGAGGACACCAGAAAATTATTGTTTTGGTTAAAGCTCAATTAGTGCTAGCTTAAATGTGTTGAGGACACCAGAAAATTATTGTTTTGGTTAAAGCTCAATTAGTCCTAGCTTTATGTGTTGAGGACACTAGAAAATTATTGTTTTGGTTAAAGCTCAATTAGTCCTAGCTTAAATGTGTTGAGGACACTAGAAAATTATTGTTTTGGTTAAAGCTCAATTAGTGCTAGCTTAAATGTGTTGAGGACACCAGAAAATTATTGTTTTGGTTAAAGCTCAATTAGTGCTAGCTTAAATGTGTTGAGGACACCAGAAAATTATTGTTTTGGTTAAAGCTCAATTAGTGCTAGCTTAAATGTGTTGAGGACACCAGAAAATTATTGTTTTGGTTAAAGCTCAATTAGTCCTAGCTTAAAAGTGTTGAGGACACCAGAAAATTGTTTTGGTTAAAGCTCAATTAGTGTTAGCTTTATGTGTTGAGGACACCAGAAAATTGTTGTTTTGGTTAAAGCTCAATTAGTGTTAGCTTTATGTGTTGAGGACACCAGAAAATTGTTTTGGTTAAAGCTCAATTAGCGCTAGCTTAAATGTGTTGAGGCCTTACTTCCTGGACTGGTGGTTGTAACTTCAATGAAGTAGCCCTCGCCACGCCCTTTGGCAGTCCTAGCAAAGATGTGGATCCTGTATTTGGATGAGGGCAAGAGTCCACTTAGATGAGCATTGCTTGTGGCGGGGTCGCTGATGGATGGAAGCCTCTCCTGCATCCCACCTAGGTACAGGTTGATCACTGAAACAAAATTATTAAGGAAATATTTCCACTGAAGAATCCATATCAAAATCTTTTTTAAAACTTTCATCCCTGAAATAAACCTATTTGGTACCTGATGTCATCGCCCCTCTAATTCCCAACAACAAACCTATTTGGTATGTAATGTCGTAGCCCTCCAGATCCCCTCTATTTTCTAGAGGACTCCCCCACTCAAGGTTAACGTGTGTGTCGCCAATATTGATAGGACGGAGGTACTCAACAGGCCCCGGAACTGTGGAGAAGAGAAAATTTGTTAAGAGCCCAGATGACAACAACCAACAGAAAACATCATAGATCTATGTCTGAAAAACTACATGAATAGCCATGGCATCAATGATTCTCTACAATTTATGGAAGGACCTGAAAAACTTGTACATGAACAGCCATGGCATCAATGGTTCTCTAAAATTTATGGAAGGACCAGAAAAACTTGTACATGAACAGCCATGGCACCAATGATTCTCTTCAATTTATGGAAGGACCTACATCCTGATTCTGTGCGAAACTTGAGACTCTCTGTGGGTGGGCCAATGAAATAATTGTTCATGACGGAGATCCGGGCCTCCATATTGGTGTTGGGCTGCAAGTGGTCAACTCGTGCTGTGAATGTGTTGCCTGTGTTGAGGGCTGACTCGGGTCCGATGTTTTGTTCTCTCACAGTCAGCACGCGCTGACCTTGCTCCCAGAACTGGATCTAGGCAGAAAGTTTCAAAACATTAGCAGAAAGTTTTTGTTTTGCTCCCAGAACTGGATCTAGGCAGAAAGTTTCAAAACATTAGCAGAAAGTTTTTGTTTTGCTCCCAGAACTGGATCTAGGCACAAAGTTTCAAAACATTAGCAGAAAGTTTTTGTTTTGCTCCCAGAACTGGATCTAGGCACAAAGTTTCAAAACATTAGCAGACTGTTTTTGTTTTGCTCCCAGAACTGGATCTAGGCACAAAGTTTCAAAACATTAGCAGAAAGTTTTTGTTTTGCTCCCAGAACTGGATCTAGGCAGAAAGTTTCAAAACATTAGCAGACTGTTTTTGTTTTGGTCCTAGAACTGGATCTAGGCACAAAGTTTCAAAACATTAGCAGACACTTTTTGTTTTGCTCCCAGAACTGGATCTAGGCACAAAGTTTCAAAACATTAGCAGACACTTTTTGTTTTGCTCCCAGAACTGGATCTAGGCACAAAGTTTCAAAACATTAGCAGACACTTTTTGTTTTGGCAACACTACATCTGATAATATACTGCAGGTAAAAAAAATTTATCCAATCTTAAACTGCTAGTTTTTCTCATTGAAGAAGCACAACACATGATTTTTAAAAACATTAAATTTTGATCAACTCATTATGTTTAAAACTGTATTTAAGAAGAAAGATTTACCTTGAAGCCTCTGAACATACCCCGCAGCCTAGAGTTTTGCTTCTGTAGCTCATTTGTATCAAAATCCCATTTAAATATTGCATAGGAATCATTCACTTGTTCAACCTCAAAGTTGGTAGGCGTTATAGTTGGAACTAAGAATACAATTTTACATTACTGGAAATTGTATGCCAACCCAATATAGTTGCAACTAAGAATAGAATTTTTTTTATTTCACTTGAAAGTTGTATGACAACATGTTAATAATATGTTACAATTTGTTATCTTTAATTAACTTAATTTTTGGTCGTGTTTTGACATGTTTTACAATTTACTGCAGGTTAGTATAATTTAATATTTTACACTAAATTACTTTTAAAATTAAATCATGGTCAAACAATTTAGAGTGAATGTCAAAGTAACATCCTACCCACCACTTTCATAAGAATAACCAATGATGGTTGAGGGAGGTTGAGTAGCCTCCCCTACACTGTTGCCTGCCCTGAGTGTGATTTGGAAAGGTTCATAGACAAGCCCAGTAGAGATCTCAAAGCTGCTTCTCCTCCAATCATTGATGGTGTAGCTTTGGAGCTGGGAGCTGTTCTCAGACCCAACTCGTCTCACTTGGAGGGTGTAGTAGAAGCCTGGGCCATTCTGCACTATTTGGGGCATTGGCTGTAGGAGGTCGAATCATTTCTGGTCAACTCACCATGTAAGTACAAGTTCAATTATATTTTAACATCTGTGGCATGTCAGTAATTACCTGGCAACCCCCCTGGGTAACTCCAGATTTTTAAAGTCAGTTATTACCTGGCACACTCCCCTGGATCACCCAGATTTGTGGTTTCCATGCAAACTACAAGTTACATTTTTAAGCTATAGATAACTGACACTAGAATCTGTGGAAAATTCCCACTTCCTGTACCACCCAATGAAAACAAATTCCCACTTACCATCCCACCCAATGAAAACAAATTCCCACTTCCTGTACCACCCAATGAAAACAAATTCCCACTTACCGTCCCACCCAATGAAAACAAATTCCCACTCACCGTCCATTCAATGTACAACTTCCCCACCCGATGTCCCACAGTTCGGAGATTGCGAGGCGAAAACAACGGTCGTGCAGGTTTGGTAGAGCAGATGTTGGAGGTGGGGAAGCTAGGGACACTGGGTCCAATCTTGTTGTAGGCGATCACACGAAAGGTGTAGTTGACAAAAGGGGAGAGGGTCATGTTCACCCGACTCACTAGGGCACCAACCTACAGAAAAATTCTACCTTCACAACAAGAAATACTTGCATGGCCTTAAAAGTGGGGTAGTTAAAACAAATATATTGCAGGCTATAAAAAAAAAGTAAGTGAAATGATTTAGCTACAGCCCATGGGTTTGACAAACCTTAGCTCCAATAGGTGCAGCCCATGGGTTAGACAAACCTTAGCTACAATAGGTGCAGCCCATGACAAACCTTAGCTCCAAAACTCCATTGGTTGGGGTTGAATGAGGTGTTATACTGCAAGACAAAGTACTGGATAGGGGAATTGTTGATACTGCCAGGCATCCAGCGTACTGTTGCGTTTTCATTACAGAACTCCAATCTTACGTTGGATGGGCTTTCAGGAATATCTGCACAATATTACATTTTAAAGTTTTCATTACAGAACTCCAATCTTACGTTGGATGGGCTTTCAGGAATATCTGCACAATATTACATTTTAAAGTTTTCATTACAGAACTTCAATCTTACGTTGGATGGGCTTTCAGGAATATCTGCACAATATTACATTTTAAAGTTTTCATTACAGAACTTCAATCTTACGTTGGATGGGCTTTCAGGAATATCAGCACAATATTACATTTTAAAGTTTTCATTACAGAACTTCAATCTTACGTTGGATGGGCTTTCAGGAATATCTGCACAATATTACATTTTAAAGTTTTCATTACAGAACTTCAATCTTACGTTGGATGGGCTTTCAGGAATATCAGCACAATATTACATTTTAAAGTTTGAATGACATTAGTGACTTAGCAGTATGCTAAAATATGAAGGTGTACGCAAACTTCAGGTGGGGAATCAGTCAACAGAGGGTAAGTTTCTGACACTGGGACTTGACAGAAAATGTTTACAACAGGATTCATATTTAAAACTTTAAACATTTTTCACTAATGTTATGACAAAGAAAACTAACCTTTGACTATAAGCACGGCCGAGGCTGTGGAGTTGTCCAAGCCATTGGTGGCTATACACGTGTAGGTCCCTGAGTCTCTCATGATGGTCCCACTGATGGTCAGTGAGTTGTCCTGTCTGTTGGTGGTCATCCTCTGGTCATTGGCTGTGATTGGCTTGCCATCTTTCATCCACAGCATCCTCAAGTGTACCACCTCCTCTGGGTCAGTTGTTGCGGAGCAGGTGAACTTGGCATCTTTGCCGGCCATCACTTCAAGGTCAAAGGGTTCCTGCTCAATCCTCGTCTTTCTCCTGACAATCAGAGTCCCCTCAGCATACGTCTGGTTGTACCTGTTCTCTGCATGGCACCTGTATCTACCTGCATCAGACAGCACCACTGACTGACAAAAGGAAGAAACAAAAATCTAATTTTTAACTTCACACAAAAGAGACCAATCAAATTTTTAACTTCACACAAAAGAGACAGATCAAATTTTTAACTTCAGAGACAAGTGGTCAGAAGATCATGAAGCATTTGATTGTTTATTTGACTGACCAGCAGTGAACCCACAACTGACCAGTAGGAAGTGAGCATCACAAATATCACGCTGACCAACAACAAGTCACTCCGCTAAGTGAGAATGTACACACCTTAATGAACAACCCTGCTAGTGAGAATGTACACACCTTAATGAAAAAGTCCCTCTGCTATGTGGGAATGTACACACCTTAATGATCAACCCTGCTAGTGAGGATGTACACACCTTAATGAACAAGTCCCCATTCTTTAGAGTCAGGTAGCGCCCCCCTGTTATTCTGTCTGTGTCCTTGAACCAGCTGATAGTTGGGTCAGGCTTGCCAGTTGTCCTACAGGTCAGGATGACCGAGTAGCTTTCTGCGCTGTACTGGACATTTGCAGGTGGCTGGATTATAGTGGGTGCTTCAGCTGGGGCAACAACAGTTAATACAAATTCTGTCATTAACAAAAAATATCAACAACATTTTATTACAAATTCTGTCATTAACAAAAAAAAACTCATGAAGAATAATTAATTTTTAACAAACGTTGTAACTTACATTTGACTTGGATAAAAAAATCGGCAAATGCGTAGCCATGAATATTGGAAGCGTTACACTGCATGACCATGTTGTCTGTTTCTTCTAAATTGTTGAGGACAATCTTGCTCTCTCTGTCTCTCTTCAAACGTCCATTGATTCTTGGGTCAGTGACTTCTGTAAACAGTTGCAATTAAATATCTTAAACCCTGCATGACACAGCTGATAGAAAACCATTTCCCTGACCAAATGGGGCCTGCTGGAAATAACATTCTGGATAAAATTTTCTTCATACCCTAAAGTAGCATAAAATAAACAGGGAGTTATCTCCCCTAAACTTTCTCGATTATTCTTATATAAAACAACAGGGGATGGGAACTCCATTTTAAATACTTAAAGTTTTTAAAATAGAATAAAATCTCGAAGAAAAAAGAATTGCACACCAGGTGAACGCCAAATGAAATGTGCATAATAGTGCACAAAATTATTAGTACTTTATAAATGTACATGCTTTTTTGAGAAATCAAAAATACCGTAAATTAGTACTTTCGGTCAACGGAAATTACTCAAAATTTGAACGAAGGTAGAGAATTAGATCTTTTACTTACATGTAATATTTCATTTATCTACCTCAAATAGTACTCAAGTTATAAGCTTTTGAAAAATTCAAAGTAGAAAATGTACGACTTTTATCGGAAATCGCTCAAAAGTTGATACGGATCTAAGATTTTGATAAAATACTTATATATGAAATTTCATCAACCTAGCTGTAATGGTACTCAAGTTATCGTGTTTACACACACACAGACACACACACACAGACATACGGACAAGATTGCAAAATTATGTTTTTCTGTATCAGTGAGGTGTAAAACGTCAAGATTTGAAAAAATCTCGATTACAAGACTTTCTCTTTACTTCGTATATACGAGAAAGTAAAAATCGGTCACAAGATTTTTAATGCACTAAATGGAAGAAAGATGACTCAAAAGTTTGAGCCTGGCTTAAGCCTTGAGTTGAATGTCCATGATTACACCAACTCAGATGGGTACCTATAAAAACCTGACCAGATGGGTACCTATAAAAACCTGACCCACCTTTTAAAGCCACACCATTGATGTACCACTCAATGTCACCCACCTTTTAAAGCCACACCATTGATGTACCAATGTCACCCACCTTTTAAAGCCACACCATTGATGTACCAATGTCACCCACCTTTTAAAGCCACACCATTGATGTACCACTCAATGTCACCCACCTTTTAAAGCCACACCATTGATGTACCACTCGATGTCTGGCCCAGGTACTCCACCAGCTAAACAGGTGACCTCAACACTGGCTCCCACACCTGTCTCAATATCCTGTGGCTCCTGAATAAAGTAAGGCTGCGCTGGAAAATTGGAAGAAAGGAAACAAAAGTTAACTTAAAAGACAATCTACCATAATTCAAGTGATGAATTTTTAAAATGGGTGAACTCTAGTATCATTATTGATCCACACTAGACCCAGACTCTAAAATGTCTTACAGTTGACCCAGACTCTAAAATGTCTTACAGTTGACCCACACTCTAAAATGTCTTACAGTTGACCCTGACTCTAAAATGTCTTACAGTTGACCCTGACTCTAAAATGTCTTACAGTTGACCCTGACTCTAAAATGTCTTACAGTTGACCCGACTAAAATTTCTTACAGTTGACCCTGACTCTAAAATTTCTTACAGTTGACCTGACTAAAATTTCTTACAGTTGACCCTGACTCTAAAATTTCTTACAGTTGACCCGACTAAAATTTCTTACAGTTGACCCGACTAAAATTTCTTACAGTTGACCCTGACTCTAAAATTTCTTACAGTTGACCAGACTAAAATTTCTTACAGTTGACCCTGACTCTAAAATTTCTTACAGTTGACCCTGACTCTAAAATTTCTTACAGTTGACCAGACTAAAATTTCTTACAGTTGACCCTGACTCTAAAATTTCTTACAGTTGACCCTGACTCTAAAATTTCTTACAGTTGACCAGACTAAAATTTCTTACAGTTGACCCACACTCTAAAATGTCTTACAGTTGACCCTGACTCTAAAATTTCTTACAGTTGACCAGACTAAAATTTCTTACAGTTGACCCTGACTCTAAAATTTCTAATCTTGCGTCCCCTGCTGATAGAGTTGGAGGCCCAGCACTCGTACGTCCCAGCGTCCTCAAACTGCAGGTCAGTGATCTCCAGCTCGCGAGCAAAACTTTTCAACTGAACGCGGCTTGAAAAAGATTTGTTGTCGGTCCTCTCCCAGTAAATGTCTGGGGTGGGGCTGGAAGAAACACTGTAGTTACATAATATCCAGGTAAAGTTTTTAAAATTATTTTAACGTCAAGCAACACGTAAAGAAAAGGGAATCTAAAATCATGGTGTAAAAATTGAACGTACAACCCATTCTAAAATCATCAGGTCAAGGTAAGAAATAAAATATTTTCAAAATTCAACTGCCAAAGTAAAATACTTGTTCATGTCTAGACACTCCCAACTTAAAGTCGAGCTAAAAAATTCTTTTAGAGCATTGAAACTAAATTATGGTAAGCTTATGAGTCCTTGAAATGTAATGCCAGTCCTTTGATGTATAAATTTACATCTGTAACTGTCCAGATACTTTTGTGATACAATGTGCTTTAAGTTGGTGCGGGGAACACTCACTTCCCAGAGAAAATACACTTGATGTTAAAAACTTGTCCCTTAAGTCCAAACCTATCATCTTGATCAGACCAGAAGTGCTCCACAGGCATGAACTCTTCTTTCCCTGAGGAGAGAAACAAACAAAACCTCTGCACTCTGTACAGGCATGAACTCTTCTTTCCCTGAGGAGAGAAACAAACAAAACATCTGCAATCTGTACTGTAAGTTAAGTGTGGTGTTCTTCAGTTCATTTCTAATATGCCATGGTTCTGTGGGTTAGTGCTGACCACACTATCCCTTCATATGTCGAGGTCACAGAAACAAGTGAACTCTACTTCACTTGCACAATGGACCGTCAGGTTTAAAAAGGGAATTTTACTTTTTTACTTTTGTGTTATTGAGATATACCAACACAACGCAAAATCTATTTGCAACCATGTAATGATCCCTGATAACTGAGACCTACAAAAAAAAAACAAAAAAAAATTACCGCCAGAAGGTTTGATAAAATGCAATGGTCCCATGACATTGCGCCTCATGATGCTGTTCATAGCCACACACAAATAAGGCATGTCATTTTTGGCGTCTGTCTGCTGGATGTTGGCGAACCTCAAGCGATCTTTCATAAGACACAAATACTTGGAATAAAAACCTCAAGCGATCTTTCATAAGACACAAACACTTGGAATAAAAACCTCAAGCGATCTTTCATAATATACAAACACTTGGAATAAAAACCTCAAGCGATCTTTCATAAGATACAAACACTTGGAATAAAAACCTCAAGCGATCTTTCATAAGACACAAACACTTGGAATAAAAACCTCAAGCGATCTTTCATAAGATACAAACACTTGGAATAAAAACCTCAAGCGATCTTTCATAATATACAAACACTTGGAATAAAAACCTCAAGCGATCTTTCATAAGACACAAACACTTGGAATAAAAACCTCAAGCGATCTTTCATAAGACACAAACACTTGGAATAAAAACCTCAAGCGATCTTTCATAAGACACAAACACTTGGAATAAAAACCTAAAGCGATCTTTCATAAGACACAAACACTTGGAATAAAAACCTCGAGCGATCTTTCATAAGATACAAACACTTGGAATAAAAACCTCAAGCGATCTTTCATAAGACACAAACACTTGGAATAAAAACCTTGCAAAATGTTATCATAGTATTGTTTAAAGTACATTTTGGCTTGAAATTATTTTTAAGATATGTGTTGAAACAGTTTGGCCAAGTATTGATTTTGTGTAAAAGAAAGTCTCTTATTTTTGCAGAAGGCTTAGATAATAAAACTAACATACCTATCTATGACTTAGGAAACTAGGACTAAGCAAATAATTGCATACCACACTGACCTACCCAACTATGACCTACCCATTTATGACCTACCCTACTATGACCTACCCTACTATGACCTACCCTACTATGACCTACCCTACTATGACCTATCCAACTATGACCTATCCAACTATGACCTATCCAACTATGACCTACCCAACTATGACCTACCCCACTATGACCTACCCAACTATGACCTACCCCAATATGACCTACCCAACTACGACCTACCCAACTACGACCTACCCCACTATGACACACCTTACTATAATATACCAACTAAAACAAAAAACTGATCATACACTCCCTATCCATCGTGACACGACTGTCATAAGCAACAGCTTCGATCCCGCCAGCTGGTGTTTTGGTGACCCAGAACACGCCCGCGGGTGGGACGCTCTCAGGTGGAACACAGGGTAGGGTGTAGGCCGTGCCAAGCGCTGGAGTGTGTCTGGATGCTGGGCTGTTGATGAATGATTCCAGCTTAGCCTGCCTGAAGTTGATTTTTCTAGAGACAGACACGCCGTACTCATTTCTAGCAAAGCACTGAAATATGCCTTCATCTTTGTTCTCTGGGCGGTTGAAGACCAGAGTGCCCTCCCTCGACAGTTGCACAATTCTGTCGTCATTTCCACTTGGGTTAAAGGCTATCTCATTTCTTCTCCAATTAAACCTGATCACAGGGAAAAATTAATTACAATTAGTACTTTAATTCATTAAAGATGAGGAAGACTGAGGTAAAATTCTATTCATGAATGTGAACAAAATGCTTCCCCAAATACAAGCAGATGAAATAGAATATATCTAGATTCATTTTGGGGGGAGATGGTTTAGATAACAAAATATCATTTGTGAAGAGGTTTACAACAGGGTAATTAATTAAACTGTTTGATACTAAATGTGGCAGTCACTAGTCTAGCTATAACTTCCCTTGTTTTGTGGTCCCCTCAAAGATTACTTTCATTATGTTGGGATATTACAGATATTACATTATGTTAGAAGACCCCCCCTCTCACATGCCACTTACATTGTGTTGGAAGACCCCCCCTCAAATACTACTTACATTGTGTTAGAAGACCCCCCCCCCTCAAATACTACTTACATTGTGTTGGAAGACCCCCCTCAAATACTACTTACATTGTGTTGGAAGACCCCCCTCAAATACTACTTACATTGTGTTGGAAGACCCCCCTCAAATACTACTTACATTGTGTTGGAAGACCCCCCTCAAATACTACTTACCTTGTGTTGGAAGACCCCCTCAAATACTACTTACATTGTGTTGGAAGACCCCCCTCAAATACTACTTACATTGTGTTGGAAGACCCCCCTCAAATACTACTTACATTGTGTTAGAAGACCCCCCTCAAATACTACTTACGTTGGAGCTGGCCCACCTTTAGCTTTACAAACTAACTGCACAGTTTCACCAACTTTGAAGTACACATTGTTAGGAGGTTCTTCTCTAATACTTGGTGGTTGATGTATTACTGGAATATTAAATCAAAACATGTTTGAGAAAATTATTCAAAGGAAACAGAATTCCTGGCAGCCTCATATGATGCATATCAAACACTTGCTAAATTGTTTATTACAATAGGTTTAATTTCTTTTACAAATATGAATATACAAAAAAATTTTTATTGTAAAATAAAATTATTACCTACACAGAATTAAACAGTGAGTGAACAAAAAAAACTGCAAACTGTTGTGTTGAGTCTGTTAGAAAAATAATTGTTAGTAGAAACTTAACATTTTTTAGACAATAGAAGAAACTAACCGCTCTTTCTAATGTATGTTTTGATAATCTATATATATATAATTCTCTTCTGGGAGCCGTTAGAAAACAAGCTGCAAGCTCCTCCTTGCAGTCCCCTCTCTTTCTATCACTATCACTACCACCCCCACCCCCACATTGTCTGGTGAGCTGTGGTCACGCTAAATGTTTACAAAGCTTAATGTTTACAAATCGTAGAGCCGTAGAGCCGGGTTTCTATTAGGGGCAGATAATTTAGTTCGATTTTAAACTTACAGGAGGTAACTAAGAAATAACTAAGAGGAGACTGCTTTCACGGGGGGGGGGGGGGGATGTAGGGTCAGGGTTAGGGGAAAGGGTAGTGTTTTAAAGCAAATATTTTCAGTGGCAGCATTGGTACTGTCGAATTCACAAATTATGAATTACTGAAAAGTAGAAAATAAAACAACTAAATAGTGGCATATGATACGCTGCGGGTCGGCTCGTGAGCTTTAAAAGAGATGCTTAATATGAACTTCATCAAAAGTTTTTATTTTTACAAAATATTTAGTACTTAGAGTAAAGTTGCGAGTAGAACAACATAATTCATAAGAAAATAAGAAAACTTGTGCACATGCAAAAATACACACTACATATTACCAGCTGCTAATATCATCTGCAAGACTCCACAACACCACACTACTGACCACATATTAGACTTTGATCTAGAAGAAGCCCAATCTAAATGGTTGAAATTTTATAAATCAATACTTTTCAAATGCTGCCAGATTTTATTAACAAGAAGAAAAAAATTCAGAATTCAACATTAATAGGCGCCTATACAACTAAACTATAAATAATTCATTTAAAAGTAACAAAGTAACTTTTTTGTGATGTGTAGGCCTACATATATAATATTTCAATATTTCAAATCTAAAATTTCATCTGTTTATGGACAACCCTTTGAGATTACTTTTGTATTGGTTACAATAATTAGGACTACAGTAGTGTTGCTGCTATTATCATTTATTATGAATTATCAGATATGAAAGGTGAACACATACTAAACTATATACATGAGCATTAAAGAAATTTTGAATTGCCTCCATTGAAATTAACTGAAATCCCATTAATTAACTCCACCTTCTCCCCCCCCCCCCCCCTTTTTTTTCTGGTTGCACGTTTTTGTTTTATATTAAAAACATTATAAAACAAAAGAAAATGTTAAGAAAAAAATCTACTTACCTTGGAAACCAGCAGGCTTACTTTTGGTTTGCACCCCCCCCCCTCCCCTCAAACTTTTGATTTGCACTCCCCTCACACTTTGGATTAGCACCCCCCTCTCACTTTCGATTTGCACCCCCCACTCAATTTGTTTTTCCAACCCATTTTGCCACCCCTTTAGGTCGGTGCCCAGGGACATATGTCATCCCCCTCCCCCTCCCCTACGTGTCTGGCCTATATGAATATCATTGTACATCTTTATATAGATCTATGTCTACTTTAAACTACTTTAAGTAACTTAAGTTAAAAAATACATAGAGTCTAGATCTAGATCTAGTAATAAAAAATATAGTATAGTTTTTAGTATAGTTATAAGTATAGTTTAGTGTTTATGATAATTATATACTAGATCTATATAATGTATATATAGAATTATAGGCCAGTTAGTTAATAGTTAATATTTATTAGCTATGGCTAATATAATTACTTTTTAGTAATATGAATATTGTCTAGTAAGGTCTAGAATTGAATATGCTTACACCAGATTAAAAATAATTAATAGATCTACATATTATTACTTCATAACAAAATAAATTAATAAATCATTCAATACAAGATTTCTTAAGCTCAGCCTACCTGGCATGATCATTGAAATAATCCTGACTTGAGTTTCAAAGTTAAACAAAACTTACAAATTTCAAAATTAGGGTCCTAAATTAAATATTAAAGCCCCTTTTTGCTCTTGGCCTTAGATCGCGACCTAGCTACTTACTTTTACATAGAATATGCTGATCAAGCTACTCAATGTTCCTTAAACTTTAAGTCAACGCCAAACAACGTTCTCAAATGTCTTCACCAGACGCCACCCTGCGAAAATAGTTTGATCGTCAGCTCACTCAGTGTAAACAAGACAAGAGCGGATAACTAAAACTTTTTTTTTAAATCACGTTTTTAAATCCTAATAAATCTTATCTAGATTTGATCTAGATTCTAGATCAAAATAAATTAAATACATATTTGATTGGACTTTCTAAAACCAAATACACTCATTATGAAAAATTAATGTAATTAAGTAGGCTTTAAAAATAGACTATGCATACATCAATTAGTAGGCAGGCCAAGAAATCATTATTCCTGGGATTCTGACATTTTAAAAAATAAAACATTCTTAAATTTTAGTATTTTTATTTTATTTTACAGGTTATGTCTACACTTTACAAAAGTTAAAGTAGGTGTTGGCACGGCTGTCGTTTTTGTCTGTAAGGGGATATAACCAGGTCATGTGAATTGCTGGAAAATATTAATTGCATTGCTTCCCTTTGCATTCTTAGTGACCGCCGTTTGCAAGACTTGCCTGAAGTCCGACACCCCCCCCCCCCCCCTTAGGCGTGTAATGTGATTAATAGGATTAATGATTTACTCCTTCACCTGCATGTATAAATTTTAAAACACAATCATGTCGAGTTGCAGTGCTTTGTAAGGAGCATAAAACTAAAGATGTTCTAAATATTATTCCCATGTTTCTTTTTATAAAGTGTGGGGTGCAGGGGTAAAGATTGGTTCATAGTAATATACAATATATTATAAGAGGCGGTCTTTGGGCATGTTATAAAATATGGGTGTGTCTGGATGCCATATTTTAGTTCTAAATTGTGTGTGCAAGTTGCCTAGAGATTTTTTTGTGTAATGGACTTTAACATAACCATCAAATCTCTTTTTTCACTTTTTTTAAAATCTTACATTCACATATATATGTATGACCCAAAACTTATAGTAAAAAACCCTAGAGGTTTAAACTTTTATTGAAATAATTGTAGTTAAATGCAGCAGAATAAAAATAAAGCCATAAAAAATACATGTAAAATACATATCATATCAAATTATATGTACATCACAAGGGTTAAGCACATATAAACAGAGATACAGATGAACTCTTCTTTTGGTGAAATCATGACATAGCTCATTGTGTAAATATTGACTATAAAAATGACCAGGCAGTAATCAGCTCAATATAGACCACTGAGATGCTAAAATTAGAACTGGACACAACAGTAGAAAATTATACAAACTAGATATTTTTTTCACTATGCTCAACATAACTAACAAACTTCAACCTAAAATTCCAAAATGTCAAAAAATAGTGCTGTATTATAATTAGTATATACATTTAAGCTCTATATAAAATGTATAACTACTGTTAAAATAATTCAAGCCAGTTATAAAAATATAAATTTTAAACTAATTATTAAGATTAAATTGGACACTAAATATTAGTGCAATCAATCAAATAGTTGAAAAAGTAATGATTAAAGGCATGTAGTTATTTAAAATAAAAGTTAAATACTGAGGAATAAGACAATCATAGATATAAATACTAGTTGAATGAAATAATGTATGTAGTTGAAGTCAACATATAAGCAAATGCAATCAAGATGATCATAACAAACAAGCACCAATTTAGTTGTAAGACTAAAACTATTTATAAAGCTAGTCATACTGAAGATGTTTTTGGAGGGTAGGTAGATGGCATACTATCATCAGCAGAACATAGCAAAGGCTTGGTCAACACTTGTTTCACTCTTATTGTGTAAACAAAGACAGCATTTATAAAACATGTATCAAGAGTGTTCTGGTAGTTGTTGACTTGAGTGGGTAGAGCCAGAGCACAGAATGACTTAACACATCTGATGTACAGCTGAGAAAAAATCCTAGAATAAACAGCAACATTTATTTTCACACAACTGCTACAGAATAGCACATGTCACTTTGCATAGCTCCAAAAAGGTCAAATTTTTCCTCAACCTTTTGGTTTGAGTACCAGTAAAAAAAATTGTCAAGATAGCAGGAAGCTGGTAGTAAGTAGCTGAAGTAAAAATAATTCAAAGAAGAATGTGCAACCAAGCTTGTATACCCTGAGTAAAAACATGGGGACATTGAATGAAAATAAGCAAAAATTGTTTTGTGAGTTCTTTTATCAAAACCATCAAACACTGATAGCCAAACAACTCCTCTTAAAACCATCAAACACTGATAGCCAAACAACTCCTCTTAAAACCATCAAACACTGATAGCCAAACAACTCCTCTTAAAACCATCAAACACTGATAGCCAAACAACTCCTCTTAAAACCATCAAACACTGATAGCCAAACAACTCCTCTTAAAACCATCAAACACTGATAGCCAAACAACTCCTCTTAAAACCATCAAACACTGATAGCCAAACAACTCCTCTTAAAACCATCAAACACTGATAGCCAAACAACTCCTCTTAAAACCATCAAACACTGATAGCCAATTTAAACAACTCCTCTTGCTTACAAAGTCAAATTTGTTTTTAAGTGCATAGCTTTTCCATTAACTACAATACATTTACGCCTATTATTCTTTTTGAACAACAATATATCTAAGTGAAAATTAATTCCCTTAAAAGTGTACTAATTGTTACACCTAAAATATGAGTGAAATTAAAACAACTCCACAAAGATAAGACTGGCTGATGCCCTATGAGTAGGCTATGACTTCAAAGTTGTTACTTGGCCCTCTACACGACAGACCACCACAGACATAAAGACGATCTTTGACCATGATGTAGGAACAGGAACAATGTGATGTGGGTGTCTCTGTGATGCTGGCCCAGCTGTTGGATTGTAAGTCATAAACTTCTGTCACCTTCAATGGTTTACCTTCATTTCCTGCAAGAAATATTTTACCCTATTAACAATATTTCTTCGGAACTTTTTCCCAGTCTCAGAAAACATTTAAAAACTTAAATTAATTAGTTTAGTAAGTGCAAATATTAGTTAAGTGAGGTAGTGTAAGAATATCATGTTCAGTGAGGTAGTGTAAGAATATCATGTTCAGTGATGTAGTATAAGAATATCATGTTCAGTTATGTATAAGAATATCATGTTCAGTGATGTAGTATAAGAATATCATGTTCAGTTATGTATAAGAATATCATGTTCAGTGACATAGTGTAAGAATATCATGTTCAGTTACGTGTAAGAATATCATGTTCAGTGACATAGTGTAAGAATATCATGTTCAGTGACGTAGTGTAAGAATATCATGTTCAGTGAGGTGGTATAGGAAAGAAATCAATGAGCTGACCTAATCCCCCAGCACAAATCAGCTTTCCTCCGACAACACCAACAGCAAAGTCTCCACGTTTGGTTGGCATGGGTTTCACCACTGTCCACTCACCTGCAAAGTTTGGACCACAATATAAAATATATTGAAATAATAATTAGATACAAAATTCTGCATACATTTTGGTTCTGTGAACGGTTTAAATAGATGAAATTGAAAACTTACAAGCTAACATTACATTGTAATTAATTATAAAAAAGGTTAATGAATTTTTTTTTTTCAGTAATGAGATTGAATCAATGACAAAAAGTGCTGGAGGACTGACAAGTTGGGCCTGGGGGACTGACAAGTTGGGTCTGGGGGACTGACAAGTTGGGTCTGGGGGACTGACAAGTTGGGTCTGGGGGACTGACAAGTTGGGTCTGGGGGGACTGACAAGTTGGGTCTGGGGGACTGACAAGTTGGGTCTGGGGGACTGACAAGTTGGGCCTGGGGGACTGACAAGTTGGACTGACAAGTTGGGTCTGGGGGACTGACAAGTTGGACTGACAAGTTGGGTCTGGGGGACTGACAAGTTGGGTCTGGGGGACTGACAAGTTGGGTCTGGGGGACTGACAAGTTGGGTCTGGGGGACTGACAAGTTGGGTCTGGGGGGGGACTGACAAGTTGGGTCTGGGGGGACTGACAAGTTGGGTCTGGGGGACTGACAAGTTGGGTCTGGGGGACTGACAAGTTGGGTCTGGGGGACTGACAAGTTGGGTCTGGGGGACTGACAAGTTGGGCCTGGGGGACTGACAAGTTGGGTCTGGGGGACTGACAAGTTGGGCCTGGGGGACTGACAAGTTGGACTGACAAGTTGGGTCTGGGGGACTGACAAGTTGGGTCTGGGGGACTGACAAGTTGGGTCTGGGGGACTGACAAGTTGGGCCTGGGGGACTGACAAGTTGGGCCTGGGGGACTGACAAGTTGGGTCTGGGGGACTGACAAGTTGGGTCTGGGGGACTGACAAGTTGGGTTGGAGTTTTAAATTATTTTATGAGAAGGGAGTATAGTCTATTGATAAGCCACCTCACAGAACATCATTTACTGCACCATTGTCATACAACGTCCTTTTTCCAGAGGGATAAGCAACTCTATAAAATGATAACTTTAGCAATAAACACCCAATAAATATTAAACTTTCCTGAGATGGTATAAACACCCAATAAATATTTAACTTTCCTGAGATGATATAAACACCCAATAAATATTTAACTTTGTTGAGGTGATAAAACACTGTTTAAATATTTAACTTAACGGAGATGATAAGATAAGGAACATTGACCTTTCTCTATGCTGTAAACCTCACAGACATCTGAGAAGCCCAGGTTGGCTGGTTGCAAGAGTCCCCCAACGCTGAAGATGTGGCTGTCATTGGCTGCATACATGGCAAAGACTCTCTTGCTGGGGATGTCCTGGAGCTTTGACCACTGTTTGGAGGAGAAGTCGTACACCTCGCACGCTGCTGTTGGGATTTTACCCTGTCTGCCACCTGGACAATCAACAGGTTTAAAAGTGGTAAAGGTGAAAGCATGAAAAAATATGGGAATACAACTTCAAATATAAATGTTAAAAACTAAAATTTTACATGTTGAACGTTTACACCTTATAGTATGTGCACATGAGAAAATACTAACCGTATATATTAGTTTACATAATGTACAAATGGTCTCATTTAATTGCAAACACTTTCTATGCTTTAGTTAAATTAGATATAATTTGAAACAATTATAACTAGTTCTGTATTATTTAGATAATATTAAAAAGTTTTTCAGAGTAAGTATCAGAAATATGAAAGAAAACTGTCAAAAGATAGTCTCAGCCATATTTGAAAATTTGACGTAATTATTAGAATACTTTACCTAGTAAATGTTATCTCAACTATATTTGAATATTTGACGTAAATATCAGAATACTTTACCTAGTAAATGTTATCTCAACTATATTTAAATATTTGACGTAAATATCAGAATACTTTACCTAGTAAATGTTATCTCAACTATATTTGAATATTTGACGTAAATATCAGAATACTTTACCTAGTAAATGTTATCTCAACTATATTTGAATATTTGACGTAAAATTCAGAATACCTTACCTAGTAAATAGATCTTGTCCTGGATGAGAAATGCAAACGTGGCATAACGTGGTGTAAGTAGATGGGGAAGCTTCTGCCATTTATTGCTCTCTAGGTCTAGCTCTACAAACATATCAGAAGGACTTGTGTCTGCACCCATTCCTCCCATAAAATAAGCTTTGTTCTCTGCGTCACAGGGATTTAACATTACATTTTCTTAACACAAAAATGCTGCATCACAGGGATTTAATACATCATTACATTTTCTCAACACAAAAATGCTGCACTTGTTAACAAGCACTCAACAGGATCTATTGTCAAACATTTATTTAGAAATATTTTATGTGTGAGGGTCTGTGTTATCATTTCAACTTAAAACTTCTAAAATTTTAACTGGTACATTTGCAATCTTTGATAATAAGTAAATAAATATAAAACTAAAACTGCACATATTTAAAAAGTATCCTATAATGATCTGGTGTATCAAACAATTTAAAATGTATACCTCTTATCACGCAAGAAATCCCAAGCAGCTTTTCTCCAAGAGGATCCACCACTGTCCATTTCTTCTCAGCTATATCATACACTTCAATAGCCTCCAAAGGATTCTGGGACTCCGACACGCCACCAACAGCAACAATTTTATTACCTACGGCAGCTACTGCTGGCGCTGCTCTCTTTGTTGGCATGTTTTGTAGCCGATGCCATTTTTTCTGCTTGAAACTGAACATTTCAAAACTATCCAGGGGAATCCCCTTCTCATCACAGCCACCAATGATATACAGGTTGTCTTCATGGATCAGTGGACTAGCAAACACTCGCTTGGACGGCATTGGTTTACACACCTCCCATTTGTAAGACATGACTGATGATCTGTGAGCACTGTGGGAAATAACATTTGTAAGACATGACTGATGTTCTGTGAGAAATAACATTTGTAAGACATGACTGATGTTCTGTGAGAAATAACATTTGTAAGACATGACTGACGTTCTGTGAGAAATAACATTTGTAAGACATGACTGATGTTCTGTGAGAAATAACATTTGTAAGACATGACTGATGTTCTGTGAGAAATAACATTAGTAAGACATGACTGATGTTCTGTGAGAAATAACATTTGTAAGACATGACTGACGTTCTGTGAGAAATAACATTAGTAAGACATGACTGATGTTCTGTGAGAAATAACATTAGTAAGACATGACTGATGTTCTGTGAGAAATAACATTAGTAAGACATGACTGATGTTCTGTGAGAAATAACATTTGTAAGACATGACTGATGTTCTGTGAGAAATAACATTTGTAAGACATGACTGATGTTCTGTGAGAAATAACATTAGTAAGACATGACTGATGTTCTGTGAGAAATAACATTTGTAAGACATGACTGATGTTCTGTGAGAAATAACATTAGTAAGACATGACTGATGTTCTGTGAGAAATAACATTAGTAAGACATGACTGATGTTCTGTGAGAAATAACATTTGTAAGACATGACTGATGTTCTGTGAGCACTGTGGGAAATAACATTGTTCAAGTGGTTAGAACTTTAGTAAAATTAATTCAGTAAAATACAGAAGCTTTTAGATTTTATAAAGGGGATGGTGTGGCCTGGTGCTAGAGTGCTAGTCTGCTAGTCTTGAGTTTTGATCCCGGGGGCAAGTCAGTAGGACATCCCTGAGTTCACCCAGCTCTGATGGGTACCTGAATCACGTTAGGGAAACAAAGGCGGCTGGGCATAGTGCTGACCACATTATTCCCTTGTACGCAGAAGATCATAGTAACAGATGAGCTCTACTTCATCTACCCTTTGTGTCTTGGGCACAAATGGGGAAAGATGATGATTAGATTCATAAGGTACAATTTAACTTTCTAATAGTTAAATAGTTTTATTCAGAATCTCAAATAGAGGCTGTCTGTAAAAAGTTATCTAAGATATAATAAACAGATATAAAACCTTTACACCAGTGTCTGACTAGGAACTCTTCCAAAAATGGGTGTATTAGGTTATTACTTTTATTTGAAGTATTTTAACTCAGGTTTAGAGTTAGGGTCTGGGTTCTGGAGGACTTAGTTTAGGGTTTGGGATATATTGATCTTTAATATTCTTTAGCCTACTATCAGTTACCCAAAACCCATTTTTAAGAAGATTCCATTATAGCTGCATTACCAGACACTGGGAAATCTCATCAGTATGGTTATCAGACCCAGATCTGTATAGCTATGGCTAGACCCAGCATTAGTTTTGTGTAGTTACATAGCATCAGCCATAACACATGCCTCCCAATTCAAGTAGACCTAGGTCCTACTTCTAATGAAGGCCTAACTAGTCTAATGTTATCATTTCTTTATCTTCAGATTTTCTTATCTTCACATAATTTAAAGAAGTAAATTAGAACATGACTAGTACCGGCAATACTGGATTGGTTGTCACCAGCTGTGCTGTTCAGCCAGTCTGTAATCTGTGCTGCAACAGTAACATTGAGTAACAATGAGTAACATAAATATAATAATTTTAGTTGAGATCTTATTATAAATTAATTAATAATGCATTCAATTTTAATTAGGCCTATTTAAAATACCTAGAATAGATAATCTAGATCTATTATTAGTATTTATTAGAGCCTAGATATCTTAGATTCTAAAATCTTTTCTAACGGGATTTATTTTGGTAATTTAGCTAGTAGGCCTACATTAAATTTAATAAATAAATTAAGTCTAACACCCCCCTCCACCCTAAACAAAAAAATATAAACTATCTATAGTATACTATTATATTAGTTAGTACTTTGACTTCTCATCACAGCCCTCATTTCTAAATTTCTAGTCCACAACACACAACAATAATAATAAATTATTAATAATATTAATATCAATATTACATAGGCCTATATTTTATTACTAAACTAGTGAAAGTCAAGTCTTGATCAGGTAGCTCGAATATAGATCTAGAATATAGATCTAGATCTATCTATCTTCGTAAAATAAAATAGGCAAACAAAAAGGAGGAAAAGCAGATTACTTTGAGACGTTTATTACTTTACACCCGGTGTGTGGAAATTAGTCTCAGCAGTTTGGAACCTTTGCAATGGCCAAGCTAATGTACAAAACAAAACAAAAAATTTGAAAGTGTTTTTAGACCTAAAAGATAGTTATGTGACTTTGTATTTTTTTATGAACTCACATTTATACTAAGCTGCAAACCCTACTCAAATCGTCGTTTTAAAACAAAGAAAAAGAAAAGTAGCCTGAACATAAAAATAGAATGAAGCTCACTACATTTTGAAATTTTATCAAATCAATATGAAATTTTGAACATTAGGCCTAAATTTTTATTTTTTATTTCTTAGGCTATTTCAAATATTTTTTAAAAGTGTAAATCGGAAAGGCACAAAGAAGACGAAAAATAAACAAAAACACGATGCCTTTTATTATTTTGAATACGCATCATGAAGGATGGTGTAAACATGGCAACACAGAACTACAAGGTGGCAGGGCAGACACATGACACAGGGCAGACACAGGACACATGACACAGGGCACAGGACACATGGCTAATGACACAGGACTAATGACACATGACTAACGACACACGGCTAATGACGCATGGCTAATGACACAGGGCTCATGACACAGGGCTCATGACACAGGACTAATGACACAGGGCTCATGACACAACACTAATGACACAGGGCTAATGACACACGGCTAATGACGCATGGCTAATGACACAGGGCTCATGACACAGGACTAATGACACAGGGCTCATGACACAGGACTAATGACACAGGGCTAATGACACATGACACATGACACGGGGCTAATGACACAGGACTAATGACACAGGGCTAATGACACATGACACATGACACAGGGCTAATGGCACATGACACATGGCTAATGACACATGTCACATGACACAGAGTTAATGACACAGAACACATGACACGGGTCTAATGACACATGACACAGGACACAGGGCTAATGACACGGGTCTAATGACAATGAAACAGGACTGATGACACATGGCTTATGACAGGCACATGGCAAACGACACAGCACAAATGACCAGTTTCTTCCAGGCATCTCTTCTACCGACCCCCCGAACGAAATAATGGAATTTATATTGAAAACATTTACTACTACTAGTGTCCGCCCCCCCCCCCCCCAAAAAAAAAAAATCAAGTGTCGTCGTCGTCCCGTTCCCCCCCCCCCCCCCGGAGAAAAAAGTCTGGAAGAAACACTGCAAATGATACATGACAAGTGACACAGGACAAAAATCAGACACACGAGCAAGTAGGCCTATAGCTCCACTCACTGATGGATTTGTTGAAGCTGTCATTAAAATAAGATGCCACCAAACACCAAAGGTGGCATATTCGTCAGAGGCGTATCCAGGTTTTCGTTGTAGGGGGAGCGAAAAGAGCAAAAAAAGGCGCCGAATTTTTAAAACGTTCTATATACGTATATATATATATATATATATATATATATATATATATATATATATATATATATATATATATATATATATATATATATATATATATATATATATAGATATATATATATATATATATATATATATATATAATTACTAGCTGTATGTCATTACTTCGATATATATATATATATATATATATATATATATATATATATATATATATATATATATATATATATATATATATATATATATAATTACTAGCTGTATGTCATTACTTCGCTATGATGTAAAATAAATTGAAAGTAGCACTCTGAAGAAATAAGAAAAAAACACACAATGTAGGCCGACAAAACAAAAATTGTATCAATCTAAACAAAAAATATACATATACTACGATTAAAAACAATGAACGTAACACAATCTGTTTTGTAATTCTTGTAAAAAATTTCTTACAAAATAATTCCTGGGAAATAATTTAAGACAAGTGAAATAGGGGAAATAATCATTCTCTTAATATGAATATGTATATATCTAGACATTAAATTATAAATGTCAAAACAAATAAATAATTACTTGAGAATATAATGAAATTGTTTAATTCTATTTGAATGTACAAAATGTTTTTGTCTATAATCAGAATTTAATATATTGTCATCATAAATGCTTAAGTATTACAGCATAACGTAATTTTTTAAAATCAGAGTTGGTATAAAACCACGCTTTTCGATTTAATAGAGGTACGTTTGGAATAACAGTCTACATTTAACTAAATATTGGTCTTTTCTTTAGTTCAGATCATATATTTTTAATTAACTACTACTTCTTTGTGTTCTTTAAAGATTATTTTTTAACATAGTAATCAGGTATGGGTCAGATCACTGTATTGATCACACACCTTTTTACTGGTAATTGCAAAAACAATATTCCCAGAGTTTTACGTTTAAAAAGCTAATTTTCTGGCGGCATGGTACTTTGTTACATCATTACGCGTTTTTCTACATGTACTTAACAGATCATTTCGGGGTGGGTTTGGGGGGGGGGGGGGGATGGTTCAACTTCATTCACCACTGTCCGGTCACTTTAGGTCAATTATCCAACCCAGTGTATACCTAGGTGTGACATTAATGTCGCTCTACACAATTGTGGTGGTGAGGTGTGTGTGTGGGGGGGGGGGGGGAGATAACCAACTCAGAGTGAACATAGCGTCAGTTTTTAGATGACTGTTCTAAACATACATATATATTACACAAATATATTTTACACAAATATATATTACAGAAATAGATTTAAATAAGTAGCATTGGTATTATGACAATATTTTTTTTACATGGGGGAGGGGGGTTGTAACTTCTTCTTCTTCTTCTTCGTTCTTAATTTTTGAATATGGTGGAGGATTCAGACAACAAGTCCAACTTCGTGGACAAACCGGACTGTGGTTTCCAGTTTGTCAGGTGTCCCATATAATTTTTCCCTGAGTGGGGTGGGCTGGGGCCAGTGTCTGCCTCTTGCCTGGCTATACAGAGTACAATCCTGGAGTACGTGCTCCGTGTTTTCCGGGGCCTTGCCACAAGGGCACATTTCGCTACACCCAGCCTTCAGTTTTTTGTGCATGTGTTGATTTAGTCTGTTGTGGCCTGTTCTAAGTCGAAAGATTATGTGTTGTTGTTTTCGTGTTAAATTGTAATAGCCGTCGTCTTTAATGTAGTGAGGGTGTGTGACAGACCACATTTGCGTTTGTTTGTTTTTAATTATTCTTTTTATTTCTTTTGGGTGTAGCGAAATTTCCGGTTGTGGTTTCTTTCCCCCAATTTTCGCCAGCTGGTCTGCGATCTCGTTACCCTGGATCTGGCAGTGGCCCGGGATCCACTGCAGCACAATTCTGCTGCAGGTATTTTTTAGCCTCTCTAGTGCTGTCATAAGTGTTTGAATATAGGACTCCGGATTTTGTAGGGATTGCAGGACTGATTTGGCATCTGTAAGAAATACAATCTGACTATTCGGTGATTCAGGGTGTTCTGACAAGAGGTTTGCTGCGTGTTCTAAAGCTTCTTTTTCTGCCCTAAAATTGTCGGATAGGCTGCCTGAGGCTATTGCCTTTTCCAGGCTTTCTCCGCTTGGCCATTCAATAAGGATGCCAGCCCCGCCGTTTTTTGTGGCATCTTCAGCTGAGCCATCTGTGAAAACTCTAATCCAGGTATTGCTGGGGTACTGATCCTTAATGTGTTTATTTGTTATTTTCTTAAGTTCTTCTAGATCATAGTCAGATTTTTTTCCTATGGTGTCTATTGAGTCAATAATGGTTAAGTGACAGTGGGAGATCCAAGGCGGGGAGAGGTTTTGAGTTTTTATTGCTTCAGGAATGATATTTTCGATTTCATATTTCTTTTTCAGATTCTTTGCTTCTTTGATGAAACTTGTTCTTTGTAGTCTGGTTGATGGACTGGGTTTCTGGAGTTTTTGTTTTAGGTTATGGTTTTCCAGTGCCTCTAGCTTTGTGTATTGAGTGAGGATTTTTGATTCTCTTCTTTCTTCTATTGAGCTAAGAGCGGCTATTTCCTCCATAGCTTTTATGGGTGTTGTTTTCATGGCTCCTGTCATTATTCTCAAACCAATGTTCTGAACTTTGTCAATTTTGCTAATATTTGTTTTAGCTGCTGAGCCCCAAGCCGAAGCACCATATTCTAACGTAGGTCTCACATAGCTGGTGTAGGTTTTTTTCAGGATGTGGTGATTTGCTCCCCAGTCTGTTCCTGCCAGTTTCCTCATTAGATTAAGTCTTTTGATCCCATTACTTTGTGTGTTTTCTATTTGTTTTCTCCAGGTAAGTCGAGTGTCAAAAGTGACTCCTAGGTATTTGGGGTGGTCATTTTTTTCTAGCTCTTGGTTTTCTAGGGTAAGTTTCATTTTTTGATGTTTAGTTGATAAGGTGAAGATTGAATAAGTTGTTTTCTTGGTATTGATGGATAAGCCCCAGTTTTTGGTCCATTTGCCGAGCTTGTCAAGTGTTTCTTGAAGACGAAATTTTGAGGTACCAATATATTCCTCTGTGTTGATTAGTGAAAGGTCGTCTGCAAACATGCTTCTTTTTACTCTCCTTGGGATGTTTTCATTTAAGTCATTTATATAAATGAGGAAGAGAGTAGGAGACAAGACTCCTCCTTGAGGGACTCCATTTTTTATAGTTACTGTGTGACTTCTTTTTCCTTGCATGGAGACTGATGCTTTTCGGTTGCTTAGATAACCTTTTATCCAGTTTAGCATGTTATGAGATACTTGATGGTTTATTAGCTTTAGAATTAAGCCTTGCTCCCAAACCTTGTCAAAGGGTTTTTCAAAGTCGACCCACACTATTGAGGTTGGTTTTTTTTTCTTGAAAGCCATCTTCTATTTCCTGAGAAATGAAGGTGATTTGGTCTTCAGTAGATCTGCACTTCCTAAAGCCTGCTTGTTCGTCTGCTAGTAGATTGTTCAATTCTAGAAACCAGGTCAGTCTGTTGTTTAGTACTCTTTCCATCAGTT